GCCAACGAATTTTGAGTTATTATCAAGAACAGGCGGGAGGTGCGATGGATGTTGCTTACGATGGCTGCATCACCATCAATTAGTGCCATGACAAAGGCATTGGAGTCCTGTATCCCTGTTAGCCGAATGTGATGATGCGAGGCAGCTAGCTTACCAACTGGTGCTGGTACTCTCTATTCTGTGTTTGGAACCTTCGTCGATTATCTTGCTCGGCTTGAAAATCATTTTTTAGATCTTGATGCTCATGCATAAGCTGTTTGTACTTGGCAACAGTATCCTGAAAGCGATGTTAGCCGAAAGAAAGGCAGCTACCATGACGATTTCTAGCAAAGCAATGGTGTGGGCGGTGAACTTACGCGAATAAACTCTTCCCTGGCCGCGTCAGACGCTCGAAAGCCATCCATCTGCTGGTCTAGGTTGGCAAAGTCTGCCATGATCATCTCACTAGCTTGGAGATGCTTTCAAGGATATTTCCTTTTTATAGTAGCTGTGAAGAGAGGAGGGCTGGTGGGAGTCTCCTATGGAAGAGTGTTTGGGATTCGTCTCAATGATCTACGACGTTACCGTACCGGTAAACCTGAGCCAAGGATTCCGGTAAAGAAAACTTAGCCAGCCCCTGTGCCAAAAAGATGGCGGCAAATGAGAGATGTAGCATCCGGAAGAATGTGGTAAAACAGAAATCTGGACAGCGACTACAATGAAGTGATATAGAAGCAGCTGGAAGTCGTGGCGTAGCATCCGAACATGGCGCAGTCGTTTTCACCACTTGCTACTACCTTTGGTAGTACCGGCAGTCAAGCGAGCGTATCGCCAACGGCTTACCGTCGTACGACACGGGACACGGCGGAGAATGACAGCTCACTGTTCATCCACAGGGGTCTGATATCTGTCTAGAGGGAGGCCAATTTCACTCTGTACGAGGAACTGAGGATGCAAGAGCTGGGCTGGGTGTTTCGGCGAAATATTGTGCTGTGTGTGTATCGCGAGACTGACAGCCAAAGTAGAGTAGTAAAGCGAGAGCATGTAAACTTGATATGAAATCACAAGCCAGTCCTTGAAGGCTCTCTCTAACCTTTGAAAATAATCAGTGTGTCTGCACGTCAACGACTAGGAAGGGAAGCAGACGGTACTACTAGTACATCTTCTTTCCCTTGGATATCAATCGTGGACCATAAGTCACCGCTTGCATGCGCGCGCGCCTAGAGGTGTACGGCCTTGGTTCGGCGACCTAGCAGAACAACCGATGTAAGCAACAAAGCAAGCCCACAATGACGCCAGACCCGGATGCAAAAGAGCAGCCAACAGCTCTGCCATCTAACTAGAGTCCAGTTACCTAGCCTACCATAAAAGGTGCATTGGCTGGCACTTGAACACTTCGTAATACATCCAACCAACACAGTCTATACTTTCACCTACACTTTCACCCCCGTTCTCACTCACCTACACGTTCACAACCTCAACCCAACATGGCCGCCGCCTCTGGAAACAAAAAAGCTCGCACCCACCCCCCATACGAACTCCTCTATCACCCAGGCATCCCAGGCCGCGGAGAGTTTATCCGTCTAGTCTTCGAGGCCGCAGGCGTGTCCTACAAAGATGTCGCCAATGAGTCGGACGAGGGTGAGTCACCAGCAGTACGTAAACGTACATGACATCTGTATATCATATCCACCATGTACGAGCAAGCAATCAAGTACAGTCATTAATAAAGTCACAATCGCGCGCCAACAGGTACAAAGTCTGTCTACGCACTCGTCGACCCTGCCTCCACCGGTGACAAAGATGGCAACCCGCCCCCCTTTGCACTCCCAGCTCTCCGCATTCCCGGCGAGGGCAAGAATGGCAATGCGCTCGTCATCTACCAGACACCCGCGATCCTCGCCCACCTAGGCGACAAGCTGCATCTCGCAGGCAGCGACGAGGCGCAGAGGGCCTGGGTCATGGGCCATGCGCTCACGGCCCTGGATCTCAACAATGAAGCGCACGATACCCATCATCCTATTGCCGTGTCGGATTACTACGAGGCGCAGAAGGAGGAGGCGCTTAAGAAGGCCAAGGTGTTTCGTGAGCAGAGGATTCCCAAGTTCTTGGCCTACTTTGAGCGTCTGCTCACCGGCAATAGGGAACAGGGTGATGGGAAGTATCTCGTGGGCAATCAGTTGACCTACGCAGACACTACCCTGTGGCATGTCTTGAGTGGCCTGCACTTTGCCTTTCCAAAGGAAATGGAGGCAAGGCAGAAAGACTACCCCACCTTGTTTCAAACATTTTACCCAGCTATCCAAGAGATCAATGGCCTGAAGGAGTACTTGACCAGTGACAGGCGTGGGCCATTCAGCATGGGTGTCTATAGACACTATCCCGAACTGGACAGAGAGTAAGTTGCGTTAGATGACTACTCCATGGGCTATAAGCATCACTGGTACCCAGTGAACTAAACTTCACAATAAAGAAATGTCAATTGCAGTAATATCTTTGAGGGTGCTCGACGTGAGCTCACATCATCTCATTCCTTTTTGATGCCGGTACATGATGCATATCCGAAGCCTAACTCCTGAAACCATGTTTGTGCTACCCAATCAGCCGTCTCAGGCAGCCGTCTAGTACTCAGCGGCGCTCTGAGGGAATTCAAAGTTGACGCCCTTTCCAGTGAGACGCTTGTAAACCTCCGAATAGGTGTCGAGCCTGTAGTCAACACCACCACGCTCCTTCTCGTCGAGAACGACCTTGAGGATCTTGCTGCCGTCCTCACGGGTGCGAAGACGCTTGCCAACGATCTCGACAGGGTAGACGAGGTCAGACAGGATCGCGTCGTGGACAGCGGTGAGGGTTCGCGACTGGGGGCGCTTCTGAGTCTGGGAGCTGCGCGAGCGGTTGGAGCGCTTGGGGCGGGGCAAGATGCGGCGGGAGGCAACGATCAAGACGTGGCGGTCAGAGAATTTCTTCTCGAGCTCACGGGTGAGACTAGGTCAAATCAGACGGTGCTTTGGCAATCTTTCGCGGGGTCTACTTACCGCTGCTGGGCCTTGTGCCAGCCCTGGAGAAGGGGAACGGGGACGAAGATGACAATCGCCTTGCGACCGTGGCCAACCTCAATCTAAGAATCCTGGTGTCAGCATGTTGTAGCTGCCCAGTGCCCATCGCCTCTTCAGTTCAAGCATATAGTGTGTTTGATTTGCACACGTGTGCGATCGATGCGAGGCCCGAGAGCGCAGTGTGTGGAGTAGTGGTGTTGGCTTCATACCTCGCGGGCAGAGACAAACTGCAGAGGGCGCAGGGAGCTCTTCAGGTCCGGGACATTGTTCTCGAGATCAGTCAAGGCCTGCTGGACCGTTAGCAATGGGCGTCATGGAATGGAGTGCTCTACAGCTGGCAGACACAATGGGGAGAAACTTGCGTTAGCAATGCTGGTCTCAATCTCGGAGGGGCTCTGCCTCGAGGGGCTGTTGGGCGCGATCTTCTTCAGAGAGTCGGACATGTTGGCGGCGGCTGTCGTTCTGGTCGAGGTCGAGGGAGAAAGTTCACGGCCAAGTTCGACCTAGAGTTGGATATTCTCGCGTGTTTGTGTGCGGTGGTCGGTGCTTAAAGCCAATCCCAATCAAGTAAGTATTAATTCCCGGCCTTCTGCACCAATCGTAGACCGTGGGTGACATAAGCAGCCAAGAATCCAAAATCGTGACCATCAACTATCTACATAGCACCATAGTCGATGGCAGAGGCAGTACTCTAGTCAGCCTAATAGGAATCAATACCACCAGGTCTATTATACTGCGACCGATGCCCACCGATTATCTCGTCGGCCGGGATCGCTGTCGTCGTACGCAGTGGACACTGTGCGAGCCACATGGAGTTAAGAGCAAGTAAACACGACATCTTCTCAGAACTGAATCCAAGCTTCCTACGAGAACTATCCCATACTGCATGCCAGACGAATTCAAGCCATGTTCATCAATCCTTAGCAGGGCGAAGGTCTAGGAATAGGTGCTTGGACACCCGATCTCCGCCCTAGCGTGCCTGCCAGTCCGTATCGCTCAACCAGCAACTTCACTCTCTTGCTCCAACCTCATCCCCATGCATCAGATCTTTAAAACTTCACACAACTAAGGCATGACCTCCATTCGACCGATAGGCCTTAAAAATTGCTTCAAATAATCGGGTATCTTTTACTTCCATGGCGTACAGGACGCACGGCGCCATCGGCTCTACCAAGGCTTTGCAGGTCTTGGGCTTGTCCACGCTCTCTCAGACTACACATTTCTCCTTCCAAGAGCAAGTCCAACCATGATCATTCTCATGACTTTCTCGGCTCCATCTCTCAAGAGCGTATCAGTCTGCACGATTGCTTCTTCTAGCGTCAAGGGTCCCTTGAGGATGCTTGTATAGGCCTTGATGCCGGCGCCATAGCAGCCATCTGCTCCCTCTCCGATCGTACCAGCCAACGCTACCACTTGCGCACCGCTACGCTTCGCTCGGCGAGCGACCTCTGTCGTCATTTTACCTGGGCCATCGTCAATGAGGCTGAAACATGGCCTGTAAGAGTGTACATACCGTTTGGCGATTGGAAATCTAGGCTACCCTCGGCAGTGATGACGAAGTCCCATCGGTTGTCGAAGACGCGGTCGAGCTCAAAGTACTCATTGATGGCTTCTGCTCGTGCGCGCAACTTGCCGCCGATCATCATCAAACCCGTTCCTAAACCTCCGCTTGCACCGCTGCCTGGAGCGCGCGAAATATCTTGACCGAGGGTCTTCTGGGCTACTTGTGCCAGGCGCTCAAGTGCGGCTGCAAGGACATCTACTTGCGACGGAGTAGCACCCTTCTGAGGACCATATACTCTTGCGACGCCTTTGGGGCCGCAAAGAACATTCTTGATGTTGCATATCGCTTCAATGGATACCTTCTTCTCTACAGCATTTGTCAGTAAAAGTGGCAGATCGAGGCTCGATGCACTTACCAGCGTCTTTACGGAGTCTGGGATGTATACCACACCAGCATATGCGGTCCAACTGCGTCAATGACTGGCCACCACCTGCTCTGGGCAGCTCTTTACCATTTGCATCGAGGAGGCGTGCGCCAAGTGCTTGGAGCATACCAGCACCGCCATCGGACGTCCCTGAATCGCCACATCCAATAAGGATCTTGGTACTGCCGGCATCGAGGGCTCTCCGTATCAGTTCTCCAACACCGTAAGTTGTTGTGACCGTTGGGTCGCGTGAGTCTTTCGGAACAAGGCGGAGACCTGCAGCGGCAGCCATGTCAAGGACGGCAGTCTTTTGGTCTCCACCAAGGAAACCGACGTGGGATGCGACGGGCACCCCAATAGGGCCAGTGACTGTCATCTCCGAGATAGTTCCGCCATGAGTTGCGACCAAAGCGCGGGCAAATCCTTCACCGCCATCGTGAAGGGGGAGTTTGCGCAGAATGACAGAGTTGCGGTCCAACACCTTGCGAATGCCTGCCTCGATTGCATCGGCTACTTGCTCTGGGCCAAGGCTCTCTTTGAATCCTGAAGGTGCTACCAGGATCCTAAGCGGATGTCCCTCCAAGATTTCGGAAGTTGGCGTTGGGAGCATAGATGATGCCGACAGTAGAACCTCGTCTACCTGTTGTTGCGGTAGGTTGAAAGTCTTCAAGGTGCGAAGCCTGGGCATCTTGGGTCTAATAGACCCAGCTGGAGCAGTATAGCCATCACCCAGCGGCATAGTGGAGTTTGACATGATGTCGAGCATACTCCAGGATTTGCGAGTTGTGGTGCTTGTCTTCAGTGATCGGGTAGGAGGCGAGTGGTCGTTATGGAGCGAAGGTAAGAGTGCTGATAGCTATGGAAGTTGCTGAGCTACAGATGCTTGATTGATCGAAGTAGTCTTCAGGATGAGGATACGGCACATTTATATCTTGATATGGCACAACGATTCCGTGAAGCTGCCATCTACCCAAGCTACATGGTCGGCGCAGCCTAAGCGAACGGCTCTGCTCTGGGACATTTAAGCAGGCACTGCCTCATCAGGTTTAATTGAACCCCCAGGCCGGGACAACAACAATCGGATTCTGAGCATCGGTACAGTGGGTATGGTAACGACAAGCCGATGCTGCCGGGACCTAGGGTTTCGACATGAGGGTAGCACAGCCGACTACAACAAACATAGCCATAGACGGCAGATAGCTAATCTGGACCTTCATGGCCGCAAGCTCACAAAGGCCCGCCCTAAGACTCTGGAAGTCTTGACAGACGATCGTTGTGTAAATCCAAGTCTCTTGTTGTACCGTTTCCGCCTCGCCGGAACCAATCACGTGGGCTTACCAAGGTCTTTAGCGAATTACCGAGTGAAGTTGTTGTCCTGGATCCACTTGGCAGACCACCAGGCACAGCCAGCCTGGTGACGTTTCGGAGAAGGCTGACAACACAGTTAGGCCTCTGAGCACTAATCGAGTGATATTGCACAGCCCTTGTGATTGGCTGCGAAGCGATACCATGCCTGACATGCCACCACCTCACACGACACGTTTCTATTTCTGGTCACATCGGCAGCTAGTGTGAGGAAATGAAGCCTTGACTTTGATCACCAAGGATCTTAGTATCTTTCTGGAATGTAAGCTACCATGGTGGGATTGACTGCGCTGTCGGCGCAAATTCTGTGAGGTTGCCGGCCGCCAGGGACATGTACCTAGCCTCACCGCGTGTCATGGTCGCCTGCAACACTGCCTCAGTCCTCCAGAAATAGAAAACAGCATCAACGATTATACCAAAATGATCCTTGGACAAATGGTAGAAGATACTTTACATTCGGGGCGGTAGATATCTTCTCAATACCAGTCTGTCACCCCACTGGCCTCCGTCGATCACGATCAGTCACGATCAAGTCATGAACCGGCTTAAAAATGTCTTGTTTCGGCAGTTGCCATCGGATGAAGAGCGCGGACATGATTCAATACTACTTCCACGGTTTTCTTTTGAAGTGGATGACCAGCGACTTCTACGCGACCAGGGCAGCGAGGATACGCAGTACGATGCTGGCTATCATCTTACCACAGAAGCCATGAAACGAGAGCAAGAAATAATAGTACGTTCCTCTTCAGATGAACGACCTCTTCCTCACTAACCGTCTCCATAGGTTACCTGGGATGGCCCGCTCGATCCGGCGAACCCTCTGAACTGGTCGCAGAAGCGTAAATGGACGGTTACCATACTGGTCTCGCTGTTTACGTTCATCTCACCATTCTCCTCTACTATGGTCACTCCCGCCCTTCCAGAAATCTCTGATGATTTCGACATACCGGAAGGGTTCATGACCCAGCTCGTCATGACGATCTTCTTGCTCGGCTATGCTCAGGGTCCTTTTGTCCTGGCACCGTTGAGCGAGATCTTCGGGAGAGTTACTGTTCTACAGTATGCGAACCTCATATACCTTTTATTCAACACCTGCTGTGGCTTTGCAAAGACAAAGGAGCAGATGCTCGCATTTCGCTTCCTCAGCGGGTTGGGGGGTGCAGCACCACAAGCAGTATGTCTTCCACCCTGCACCGGTCGCCCAACCACCCAACTGAACCTTTTCGAGATGCTAATCAAGGACAGTTGTGCAATGGTGTTCTTGCTGATACATGGCGCAAAGAAGAGCGCGGCAAAGGACAAGCAATCTACGGTATGCTGACCTGGATTGCGCCCTGCGTCGCTCCCATCTGCGGCGCGTACATTTCTGAAGGTGTCAACTGGCGTTGGATTTTCTTCGCCACTTCCATCTTCACCGTTTTCGTACAAGTCACAGCTCTATTGTTCCTCTCGGAGACTTACGCACCGACCATCTTGGCCCGCAAAGCAAAGGGCATTCGAAAGTCTATGCAGAAAATTCGGCCCAATGTCGTGGTACGAACAGAGTTCGAAACAGGAGATCGCTTTAGTAAGATCATACGGAAGAGGCTCATCCTACCCTTCATCATGATGTTCACCCATCCTGCGACCCAGGCTCCTTCAATCTACCGCGCCTACTTGTATGGCGTCATGTATCTGTTGCTCTCGACCTTCCCCTTAGTCTTTGAAGAGGTGTACGACATGTCTGTCGGTACTGCATCGCTCAACTATCTTTCCCTCTGCTTGGGCTTCATGATAGGATTGCAGATTTCCCATCCACTCATGGACGGCGTAAGAGCTCCGATCCATTGCAATAATCTCAATATACTGACTACTTTCATAGTTGTATGCTCGCCTAAAGATCAAGTACAAAGTTGAAGAAGGCCTTCCTGAATTCCGCGTTCCACCCATGATCATTGCTGGCATACTCTGTCCTATTGGCCTATTCATCTACGGTTGGACAACACACTACGAAGTGCACTGGATTGCCCCGAACATTGGCTGCGTCATCCTCGCAATCGGTCTAATCATCGGGTTCCAGTGTAGTCAAGCATATACTACGGATGCGTATGAAGCGAGGTATGCGGCATCGGCGGCATCGGTGGGTGCCTTTATGCGCACAATGATGGGCTTCTCGTTCCCGTTGTTTGCACCACAGATGTACGAAACCTTGGGGCTAGGCTGGGGAAACAGTCTCCTGGCGTTTCTCACGCTGTTTCTGGCACTAGTGAGCCCAGTGCTGCTGTGGTTCTATGGCCCCAAGTTAAGGGCTATGAGCACCAGGGGCTTAATATAGTCCCCTGTATTTCAATTCAATCTTCACTTCTGCAACTCTAATTCTCGCTGGCCGCGTGAGATAAACTTACGGGCTGATTGCTTTAAAGCTTGAACGGTCCGATTCCACATGTCTTTCGAAAGTATCTTTAGGGAGTTGCCGGACCAAGAGTGCGGGGCCTAGCCCACAGGTAGTAAGGTGACGGTACTTGAGATCGGCAAAGAAGAGGACTCCCAATCTCCTCAGAGAACCAAGATTGGTCTCAATTTTTAGCAACATCACCGAATCACACCTTTCCCGTTATCATCGTCACGAATTGCTCCGAGTGTGCTGCGCAAGGAATTTTTAGAAAACAAAAATGCCATTCCTCGAGAATCAACCAAAGATTCTCATCGCAGGTGCCGGTATCGGAGGTCTCACCACGGCACTAGCACTTCACGCATCAGGCTTTACCAACATTCACATCTTCGAAGCGTCGTCCACATTGACGACACTGGGAGTTGGTATAAACGTGCAGCCGTCCGCTGTACTCATCTTGCGGAATCTAGGACTTTTAGAAGCTTTGGAGAAGACGGGTATCAAGACGCAAGAGCTGAATTTTTACAATCGCCATGGAAACCCGATACTCAGCGAGAAACGAGGCATGTACACGGGCTACGCCGTTCCTCAATTCTCCATTCATCGTGGCGAATTTCAAATGTTGCTGCTGAGTGCGGTCAAGGAGAGACTGGGGCAGGATGCTGTTCGTTTGAATCACGCATTGACAGGGTTTGAGCAGGATGAGAAGAGCATTACTGCCCAGTTTTCACAGAGGAGGGATGGTGTGCCAGCAGAACTTGCATCAGTGGCTGGCGATGTACTCATCGCTGCTGATGGCATCAACTCGACGGCAAGGCGAATACTGTATCCGAATGAGGGACCTCCACGCTTTTCAGGCCGCATGCTGTGGCGTGGCTGCATCGAGCGGGAACCCTATCTCACAGGTGCGAGTATGGTGTGGGCAGGTCATGCCGATCAGAAATTCATCGCATACCCGATTTCTCAACGCTCAGCCGACAAGGGTAAGAGCCTTGTTAACTGGATCGCCGAGCTTCGCATTCGAGGGAAAGACGATAAAGATCTAACGCCACCCAAGACGGATTGGACCAAGGCTGTCAGCAAGACGGTATTCGAAGGCCCATTTGAGAGCTGGAAGTGTGGAGGCCTGGAGATGAAAGACCTCATCGACAGTACGGAGAAAGTCTTTGAATTTCCCATGTCTGATCGCGATCCTGTGGACCAATGGTCATTTGGTCGTCTCACACTCATGGGAGACGCAGCACACGCCATGTATCCCATTGGATCCAATGGCGCTTCACAAGCCATCATTGACGCAGAATCCCTCGCCGTGCATCTCTCTTCCAAGACGCTTGACATTCCATACGCACTCAAAGCATACGAGCAAGAGCGCCTACCGCCTACCGCGAAGATCGTCATGGCCAACCGAGGAAACGGACCAGATCACGTGTTGCAATTAGCTGAAGAACGAGCACCAAATGGTTTCACCAACGTGTTTGATGTCATTCCACAGGAGGAACTCGAGGGAATTGGCAGCATGTATAAGAAGATTGCGGGATTTGAGATTGAGAGTGTGAATGAGAAGGCGGAAAGGACGAAGGGCGTGGCGGAGACACTGAACTTGAAGAGCCCGCGAGAGTGGATATAAGTAGAACTAGGGGTTTTTGAGGCCTCTTCTAGAGGGAAGAAAGTACACTCCAGGACGTATGATAGGAATTGGACTATGAGCCAGAGTACGGAGTCTCAACTCCCGAGCAGGTAGGGAGCCGGCCAGACACACCGCTCTAAAACACACCGCTCTAAAAATATACATCGCAACATCTGCATCACACTATATTCTTTCATTGTCCGCCCCTAGTGGGTACTGCTATTTCTCTAGTTTCCCCCAAACGCTATCAACCCACTAGAACCCCGCCCCCAAGTTCCCCATTTACTCCAAGCTTTCATCCCTTGACATTCTGTCCGGGCATAGACCGGCACACCACTTAGTGACCCCAACCTTCTACTAACTGTCATCGCAGCGACTCGATCTGCATACCACCATATTGCCATGCGTGATGGGAATTGGCAAAGACCTTCTCTCTGCGAACAAGGGCAATTCCACTATTTTGTCGTCCGTCTTATCCACCCTGGCCTGGTGCCCTCTTCGATCTAGTTAATAGCGTCCTCCACGGTGGTGATGGTAGTCGCAAAGGCGCTAAGCAGCATAGGTATGACCTGCTCTCTGCCAGCTACTTGGCTTAGCCCTTGTCTGACTCTTGCTAATATGTCTTGATGTCTTGTTTGACATTGGTGAGCTATACCTGCAGCTCACAAGGCCGGCGAATCCAATCCCTTTCAGACTGTTCTTAGTCTTCAAGCCCAGCTTTTACCTAACAGTTATACTTAAGAGACGGCGAGCTAACATCTCGCAGCACAATTCCTTCGCTTTTATGTCGGCCAAGTGAACCTTAGTATATTTAAAACACATGGGTGCATTACCTTCTTAATCACAAAAGTGCATAAAAAAAGTGCAAAAAATTCAAGGCACGGCCCGAAGGTCGTGATACTGGCCCCACCACGCCCCGTACGATGGTTACCGCTCTCGTTCCGATTGTAACCTCTCCCTTATGAATTTTTGTGGATTCTTTGTCCCGGCCAGGAGTCGAACCTGGGGCCGTTTGGAGACCACTGGGGTCCAGACGGACCGAGGATACCATCAGGGCGAGTGGTAGTGGTGTGCATCTTGCATAGAAGATACTACACTTATTAGGTTTACATAGGCGAGGTATATGCTGACTGTAAGAAGGTAGAAGGATTTGGGGAGTGTGGATGGGTGTTGTTGTTGCGGAGGTTCGTGGTGGGAGCGTTTGACGTTTGTCGTTTGTCGTGGTGGTGGAGGTGAATGCGAAATATGCACTTGAGCGGGAAGTTAAGAGCAACTAGGTATAGGAACATGTTCAAAGGGGGTTACATATCTTATTCAGGTACTTTCCTCTTATTGAATTGTACTTATCTACGTGGACCTACTAGCAACCGTTTTATATTATCTTTGACCGAACTGCTGTTACCCATCTTCACACGATGCGTCTCATGGTGTTCCCTCAAAGTGCATCCTCCGAAGGAGGCGGCACCCTATGGGTAGGGTCAAAGAGCCAGGTCGGGCTAAACGGAACTGATGCATCACCATCTTTTGATGATTCAGAAGGCGGAGCGTCATCCATTTGCGATGTTTGTTGTGCACTGGCAAGCTCTTTTTCCAATGCAGCAACCTTGTCCCGCAGGGTGCTTGCTCCCTCTTCACACTTGACTTTTTCCGATTGTTGCTGGTCAAGGTTAGCTTGCATCTCCTGGATTTGCTGTGTTGCTGTTTGTATCAATGAGTCGTATTGGCCTTGGAGTGCGGCCATGTTCTGTTGATCTTGACGGCTTTGCTCTTTCAGTTTCTCAAGATCACCATCTTTGAGCTCTCGGTATTCATCCGAGCTTGCTTTCAAGTTGTCATAGTCCCGTGTGAGCTTTGAAAGTTCTGCTCTCAATTCTGCCATCTGTCTCTCGTGGACGTCCGCACTCCGTCGCATCGCGTTGTCTCTCACATTCAGTGAAATTTGAAAGTCCTTCAAGTCGCCTCGACCGTCGTGGCGCTTGATGTTCTCAATTTCTGCATATTTCCCCTTGACAACAAGCTTTAGTCTCTCTATTTCTCTTGCACAGTCAGTGTTCGCTGATTTGAGATCTTCCATCAACTTCTTCTCCTTTTCTTGTGCTGCCATCGCTTCTTGGCAAACCCTAATGAAGACCTCCTTGGGCTCTTTCAGTACTGAAACTTGAACGGTCGTAAGGTTTCTGAACAACATCTTCGATCGTTCCAGCATTCGCCGACGTATCTCTTGGAGAACACTGTGCTTCCTTATTTCGTTTTCGAGTGTGATTTCTAGGGCTTGATTTTTCTTAGTTGTTTCATTAACTTCTGTGGTCAATGCTTTCAGCCGCTCCTTCAGATAGGCAATCTCTTCAAACTTCTCCAGCATCCAGGGTTGACCTGTACGTTGTTTTATGATCCATAGGAGCGTTCCGATGACTCCAATACAGACTAACAATAGTATGTCTTTCCAGCCAGGACCCGGTAAAAGCAGTTTATTGCCTGAGGCAAGATTGCCTTCACCTGAGGTAGGACCCGGGGCAAGTATTGGAGTAGATCGAAGTGCGCATGGACTTTCCTCGTCTCTTATATCAGTCTCATCACACCACGTGTGCGAGAAGGTTGAACGTGGAACGGCCTCTGCATATTCAACACCAGAGTATTTTGTGACGTATTGTATACCATCATACAATGTCGACGTGGCTGTCAGAGTGTCAAAAGTCGTGTCGAACAAAGTGCGCGTGGTAGTATCGGTAGTGGTATCGGTAACGGTATCAGTCTGCGTCCGAGTTACGGTGGATTGCGTTGTCAATGTAGTAGTAACGGGTCGAAACACAGAAGCCGTTCTAGTAACTATTACAACTGTGGCCGAACTATCTGATGGTACACCCGCGTGAATGATGGGTCTTTGGAGGTTATCCAGTGGTGAAACTGGATAAACAATGGGTAGATACCATTTGGCAATTTCAGGGTAGGCTATGATAGTGGCGACACTCAAGCTCCGAAACACGTCGTTCTGGAAGAAATCCAATAGCATGTTCGCCATAGTGGCTGTAAAGATGTGGAAAGACGAAGCTAATGAAAAGTCGGGTGATACCAGAGAACATATACCTAGCCCGTTGCTAGGTACGTCGTCCTCTTTTGGATTTGTTTTGAATGATCGAAGTTTTTCAAACCGCCAAATATTTAAAGTCTTAGATTTTAACAAAGACCATGGTGGATGTGCGCGAACAATGAATGTGGCGAGTGAGAGAGGCCATGGTATCTAGCAAGCATGAAAACAATGACTTGACAACCGCCTAATGCAAATCCGGCTCCTCAAATATTCATTTCACATCAAAGAACGATAAAGGAATTAATCGCACCGCTCTGTTAGCAGATCGATCCGGCTATCAGCGAGAATGTCATGAGAATGCATTAGTCCATGTGGATGCCAAAGATGGTGCACACTCAGACTGTACGTGGGTTTCGTACGCAACTAATATATGATAGGTATGTGATAGATAAATGCTGGTGCATTTGTTGCTTAAGTGCGCTGGAATTAGAAGTTTTTGATGCATGTGTTCAAACACAAATTATATGTGGCTGCTGCGTGGAGAGACGAATGCTGTAGTCTCCGCATTCCAACTCCGCGGCGTCGGACCGAAGTTTGACCGGGGCACTTGTCTTGCGCGACCTTTCTGCTCACGTGCGTCCACATTCTCCACAGCCCGCTAGCCCCGCACCCGAAGCAAACGTGAACAGGTTTCCTTTATCATGAAGAGCATGAAGTACCATCTAGAACAATTTGTGTGCGCTGAAGATCCCGTTGTTGCTTTAGTCTCAAGCCTTGCGAGATAAAGGTATCTGCTCGGCGCGTGCCACTTGATATTGCCTTCGAACCAAAGATGCGATGCTGGGACATTGTTCGCGCATTGCCTAATGCAGACATGCTACCCGGCCCGGAGCATTGCTCCCACCGCAGCATTACCTGGGTGTGCAGTCTTGCTAGAATATGTGTATGTCAGGAACAGGAAATGTGATGCCTGATTGCCCAGTTTTGCAGTGCGTCTCTTTCCCGGAACCCTTGAGGCCGATCCGCGCACAGTTACTGTCTCTACCGTGGCTGGCGGAGCTCCTCGTCCTTGCTATGATGTTGCTAACCATAAAGATCATTCAGTCCCCCATCGTTGAGCGAGCTGCTCCACAAAAGGATTTTGGTGGATTGTTGTAGCGTCGCCGGATATCCTTTTTTTCGAGTGAGCCGAATCGCGCATCCTTCATACAGAGACCTGTTTACTTCACCTGTGTATTATTACGAACATACTTGAGTTTACAAAGCACACAACCCAATTAAGGTCTGGCTTTGTGTTGACCTTGGACATCTTCACATCGAAATCACAGCATGCCTCCAACAATATCGGCAGTGGTATCCTTGCCTAGTCTAACTCAGGCGGGGGCACAAACCGCTCTTGAAGCAGCGGAGCAATATGCGCTCGAAATCGGAGTACCTATGTGCGTCTCCGTCATGTATATCTTATTGATGGTACTAACTGTAACTAGGAGCATAGCAGTAGTTGACGCCCACGCACACCTGTTATCCTTCACACGCATGGATGGCGCAAAAATAACGTCAATAAATACTGCCATGGATATGGCTTTTACTTCCGCTAGCAACCGCATTCCCACCTCAGCATACCACGAGGATTCATGGTCAAACTGTGCGGCCAGCGGAACTAGCGGCACGTTGTGTGGCCGCTTTACATCACTGGGAGGGGGTATGCCTATCCTATCTTCGACGGGCGATATACTTGGCGCAATCGGATGCTCTACTGGAAATAGCATGCAAGTCGAGGCAGCAGCGAAATCGGGACGGGACGCAGTGCTCGCCCTTGTAAAAAGAGAGAAAGCCGAGGAAGAGCGTAGGATAGCTGAGGAGAGACATGCTGTGCTGTCGTTATGGAAAGAGAAAGAGGAAGAAGTTGAGATTCTCAGAGATCATTTAGAAAGCATGGAGAGAGGAAGTAAAAGAATGAGATTTGATGATGGAGGAAGTGGAAACGAAAGTATAAGCAGCAGTGGGCGAGGAAGTGTCATAGTGGGCGGTCCACCAGGCACACCGCCTGAAGAGAGGGAAATTCAGAAGCACCAAAGTTTTATTGGAGAGGTGACAGTAGGTCGACGTTGAGTTCTCTGCTCCTAATTTCTGGGTAGAGCGTGTCGCCAATACTTGCACAGTACTCCGACACATTTCAAATCGAGTTGCCATGGAGTTTCAATAGGATTCACCGTTCAATCATCTCAAAGGCTCTCTGTTACCCACTGCTCGCCTTCTGGGAACATATGATATCCAACTCAAACAAAGGACTTCCAGCGAAGCACTTTGCAAAAAAGCACGATGATCCCGTTCAGCATGTCGTGCTCGCTTCATCTATGCTGTACCGGATAACACGACATTGGGGTAGTTGGAGGCGAAGTATCAACTCCTAGGTTAACCTTCTTGGGACTAACT